TTTTCTATTTTTAGTAGAGATAGGTTTAGCTATTGCTCAGACTGGTCTCAAACTCTGGGGCTCAAGTGATCCCCCTGCCCTTGACCTCACAGAATGCTAGGATTGCAGGCGTGAACCACCCACTTCACCTGGCCTTCCTCTTCTTATAAAGTCACCAGTCCCACTCCCATGATAACCTATGAATCCATTAATTCATGAGTGAATTAATCCATTTCTAAGGGCAGCACCCTCATGACCCAATCACCTGTTAGAGGTCCCACCTTTCAATACTGCCAAATTCAGATTAAGTTTCAACAAGAATTTTGCAGGGAACAAACATCATCATAGTGGGAATTCTAAATACACCTTTCTAAGAAACTGATGAATAGAGAGAATGGAAAAGTCATTAAAAATACAGAAAATTTGAAGAATACATCAACGAGCTTATTGAATGGACATACATAGTATAATTGTGGATACAGATTCTTTTCAAGCACACAAAGGAACATTTATGAAAATTGGCCATATCTTGGGCCTTAAAACAAGTCTCAAAAATTCAGGGGATTAGTAACATTCAGATTCTTTTCTTTTCTTTTTTTTTTTTTTTTTGAGACAGAGTCTCACTTTGTTGTCCAGGCTAGAGTGAGTGCCATGGCGTCAGCCTACCTCACAGCAACCTCAAACTCCTGGGCTCAAGCTATCCTCCTGCCTCAGCCTCCCGAGTAGCTGGGACTACAGGCATGCGCCACCATGCCCGGCTAATTTTTTATATATATATATCAGTTGGCCAATTAATTTCTTTCTATTTATAGTAGAGGCGGGGTCTTGCTCTTGCTCAGGCTGGTTTTGAACTCCTGACCTCGAGCAATCCACCCGCCTCGGCCTCCCAGAGAGCTAGGATTACAGGCGTGAGCCACCGCGCCCGGCCCTAGATTCTTTTCTTTAGCCATAATGCAATTAAGTCAGGAATCAACAACGAAGAGATAGGTAGAAAAACTTTATGCTTGCTGAAATTTTAGAATATACTTCTAGATAAGTTGAGTCAAAGAAGAAAGCATAATGGAAGTTAGAGAATATTTAGAACTGATGATAAAAATATTAGGTATCAATATTTGCACAATGTAGCTAAAGGGATACTTAGAAAGGAATCTGTAGCATAAATCTCTACATTAAGAAAGAAAAAGGTAAAAATTAATGAGTTAGTCATCCAATTTAAGAAGATGGAAAAAATAAAAGGAAAAAGATATGAGCAACAACAAACACATATAAGAGACTGCACAAGCAAAGATTTTAGGAATTAAAAAAAGAACATAACTACAGATGCCAAGGAGATTAAACAAAGAATAAGAAATATTCATAAATAATTTTATGACAAAAAATTGGAAATTTTTGATTTGATTTATACATCCTAAGAAAAATGTTATCAAAGTTGAACCAAGAATAAGTTAAAAAATCTAAGCAAAAAAAAAAAAAAATCTAAGCAGTCCTGTAATCATTAAAGGAATTAAATCAATAGCTAAAAATCTTCCCACTAAGAAAAGGAATGACATGTCTAGATGGTTTTATAGTTGAATTTTACCAAACATTCAAGCCACAGATGAGAAGACCTCATATATAGAGTGAGATATATTATTCATGGATAGGAAACTTCAATATCATAAATATGTTAATTTTTCCCCCAAAATCCATCTATATATTCAGTGTGATTCCAAACCAAATCTCAACTAGGTCTTTCTTGGACATGGCCACCGGATTCTAAAATGTGTATGGAAAAAGAAAGAGGCAGTATTAGCTATTTCATTAGCAAAGAACACCAGGCAGGGAGACTTGCACTACTAAATATTAAGGCTTATTATAAATTATGATTGTGATCAAGATACTGTATTTTTGACCCTTATATGTGAGGCTCAAGGGAGCTCCCTTCTGCCACTTCTGCCATGTGATGACGCAGTAAGAAGGCACCACCTAGGACAGCAGGCCCCAATCCCTGGCTGCTGACCGTGACCTGTTAGGAACCCAACCAGTGAGCAATCAAAACTGCTTCTGTATTTACAGCTGCTGCCCACAGCTCGCATCACTGCCTGAGCTCCGTCTTTCCCCCCAACCTCTCCTACCCTGTCCGTGGAAAAGTTATCTTCCATGAAACTGGTCCCTGCTGCCAAAAACGTTGGGGACCACTGATCTAGGAAGAACAGGCCCTCACCAGACATGGAGTCTGCTGGCGCCTTGATCTTGGACTTCCTAGCCTCCAGAAATGCGAGACATAAATTTTTCTTGCATATAAATTATCCAAAGGTATTTCGTTATAGCAGCCTTAATGGACTAAGACATATAGTATATTGCTTATAAATGTTCTTTCATTGCCCAAAACCAGATTTGCAATGCCAAAGACAGCTGTTGATGTTGGGCACAATCTCCGAGAGATCATTATCAAAGATACTGGATCATTCCAGACTATGCTGAAAGGCAAAGATAATTAACTTTGATCAGTAATTCCAAACCTTTTCAAGTATAATGTGCTTTTTATAATGGCAAAAATATGGCGTTGGGCTGGGAGTGGTGGCTCATGCCTATAATCCCAGCACTTTGGGAGGCCGAGGCAGGAGGGTCCCACCGCCTGCTGTCTGCAAGCTGGAGACCCTAGAGACCTAGGGAAGCCAGTCGTGACATTCAGCCTGAGCCCAGAGAGCTGAGAGAACCAGGGGAGCAGATGGCGTAAGTCCCGGTCCGTGGGCAGGGGAACAGGGGATGAGATGTTCCAGGTCAAGCTGAGAGGCAGGAAAAAAGGGGCAAATTCCTCCTTCCTCTGCCCGCCGCACAGGGGAGGCACCTGCTCTGCTCAGTCCCCTCATGCATGCCCTAATCTCATGAGAAATACTCTCGAGGACACACCCAGAAATAATGTTTAATCTGGGTGCTCCACGGCCAGTCAAGTTGACACGTAAAATTAACCACCACAGCTGCTCTGAGCATGAGTGTGCAAGATTTTGTGTGACACAGGCTTATCTGAGATATTGGTTATTTTCTATTTCTTCAACAGCTTGTTGGTACATGGATTTTTTTTATTATAATTTCTTATATCTTACTCTTATACTACAAATATTCTTCTATAGAGATGTAGGATTTAACAAAACTGATTAAAAAGCACGTGTAGTCCAAGATATTCCTGGAGTATACCCAGAACTGACCATGGCGCCTCTGTGGGGACTGGATGGCCGTAGCTGGCAGTGGGGAGCATGGAGGCTTCTCTTTCGTCTTACGGCCTCTTGTGCAATGACACACAAGCGCGCGAGCACACACATGGCATATCTGGCCAAGCACATGGGCATTCCGGGCGGTCCCGGTGCTCTCCAGCGGGCCGTGTGTGTGGCCTGCCCTGCCCCATCCTCTGCCCAGGTAGGAGGCTTGGGCCCTCTGTCCAGCTCAGCGTGGACCGTAGGGACGCCGGCAAAATTCTCATGCTCTTCCTTCCGTGTGCTCCTGGGCCTGATTTCTGGCACTCTGGACAGACTGGCTTAGGCGAAAGCCTCAAGCTCCGGTGTGAGGACAATGACACTTCTCCCTGCACAGTCGAGTCAGTCACTGCGCCAGCCCCACCTGAGATGCCCTCTCGGACAAAGCCCAGAAGTCCTCCTGCTCGGGGAAGCAGGAACGTGAGGTCGTTGCGAGGGGATGGCACCAACAGGACGCACCCATGGGCAGGCCCTGGGAAGGTGTCAGCGTGCCTGAGGGGAGGCCAGCCCTAAGGGCTCCGGGGCAGCGGTCCAGAGCCAAGCCAACTCACTGTCCCCTCCAGAGTGGGGACTGAGGGTGGTCCTGCTGCAACCCGAGGAGGGAGTGGCGATGCAGAGAGAGGTGAGTCTCCGTGGGAGCGGCTGGCTGTGGTTCCAGAATAGTTTTCCAGGTCCAGTTCACCTGCGTCCTCACATGGAAGCTCTGTTTAATTTTTATTCCGCCCCCCGCCCCCCACCAGAGCCTGAAGAAAAGGTAAGTGACAGATTCTTGCTTCCCGCTCATTCCCCTCACAAAAGCATGCCAAGTGCCTCCCCCCTCCCGCCCCTTCCCACCCACACCCCCACAAAAGCATGCCAAGCGCCTCCCCTGTTGTGCCCCTTCCCGCCCACGCCCCCTCAGGGAGGCCGCTAAGCTCCTCCCGGCCCCTTTTTGTCTGTTTGCCCAGGATGTGACAGCTCTAAGTGATGTCAGAAGACAGATACTCATTTGGGGTCTGGGTGGGGCAACATGCAGCGGCTTCGAGCATGTCAGAGAGGCTGCACACCCAGGCAGTGGCGGATTTTGGTTTCCATTTGGTTCAGTGTTTCTGAACCATGTGTGGGAGGAGGAAAGTATGTGGTTTCCTTCTAGACCCCTGCCCGAGCAGGCCCGCTGTGTTCCAGTGTGGGCGAGTGTGCCTCCGATGCCATGTTGCACCCAGCTCCCTGGGGTTTGAACTTGGTGGCAATGTTCGCGTGGGCTGGCACCGGGCAGTCCCAGTTTGGGGACAGGGGTCTCGGTCTCTTGGGTCTCCTCCCTCCTTCACTTGCAGCTCTTCCCCCTGGCCTCGGTCTCCTCCTCCTGCCCCCCACCCACCGGATCTTTCCTGTCCCCTACCCTTTTCCTCTCCGCCTGAAACTGTGTCCCTTGCACACCTGCCACCAAGTCCTTCTGAATCTACAGCTTGAGCTTGGACTTCCTTCTCTCTGCTGATTTCCACACCTCATTGTATGTGCCCCGCCTCTGCTTGAAGATAGAGCACTTTTTCTTTTTTTTTTGAGACAAGAGTCTCACTGTGTTGCCCGGGCTAGAGTGACGTGGTGTCAGCTTAGCTCACAGCAACCTCAGACTCCTGGGCTCAAGCAATCCTTCTGCCTCAGCCTCCCGGGTAGCTGGGACTACAGGCATGCACCAGCATGCCAGGCTAATTTTTTCTATATATATTTTTAGTTGTGCAGATAATTTGTTTCCAGATTATTTTTAGTAGAGACGGTGTCTCACTGTTGCTCAGGCTGGTCTCGAACTCCTGAGCTCAAGTGATCCTCTTGCCTCGGCCTCCCAGAGTGCTAGGATTGCAGGCGTGAGCCACCGCCCCCGGCCTAGAGCACATTTTTAATGAACCTTGATTTCAGTCTTCAAATGTTTGCATGCCTTGGTGAAGTCACAGGGAAAACGAAACTCAGAGGTCATTTAAGGCGGGACACACAGGCAGCAGCGCAAGAGACATCATTGTGCTGGAAGGATGGCCTTGGTAAGTCCCCAGAAAGGGTTTTACAGCTTTTGCGTGAATGACAGCAGCCCTGTCCGTGGTGACTGTGTGCGTCTTCCTCGTTGGCCCACAGCTCCTGCACAGGGCAGCTCGGGCACACACCGAGGTCTCAGGGTCTGCCTCTCAGACGCAGCGGGAGGGGACCAGGATGGTGGCTGTGAGCCCAGACAAGTCCCAGCCTTGGCTGCTGCGTGGGCTCTGGTTTCACAGAGCCCAAAGGCCAAGGAGCGACACGCCCTGGGGTTTGGGTCTGTGCCTTTCCACGGCCTACTCAGGCCTCACCGGCAGCGGCCCTGCCGGGCCTCCCGGGGCAGGAGTGGCGGCTGCGGGCGGCAGCACCCGCTCCACCGCCCAGGCCTCCCTTGTCACACTGTCCTGGGTGGGTGGGCGAGCTGGGGAGCGGGTGCTCAGCAAAGTGACCCGTAGTGGTGTGTGTGGGGGGGCATCAGAAAGGCTTCTGTCCCCCTCACTTCCAAACAGGGCCGGTCCTACTTTCCCCTCCTTCCTCCACCCCTTTGTAGGCTCCTTCTTCCTTCAGGCCCGGTAGCAGACCCATGTCCCCAGTACCTGCCGCAGCGCGACACCACGCCAGAGGCTTTCGTTTCAGCAACTCCGGGTTGACATACAGCCCTGGGAAGTAGGAATAATGGCTCCCAACGTTACAGATGTGGGGAGAGATACTCTGGGAAATACCACAGAGGGGATTTGAACTTGGGTGGGTCTGGCTCCAAAGCCTTTATTAAAAAAAAAGAAAAGAAACGAATTTCTTTAATCCCACAAGGAATATGTGAATACATTCACCGAGTTTAAAAAACCAAAACCAAAACTATTAGCATGAAGGCTAAGCCCTCTTTCAGCATCCTCCCCACTGGCGACCCTTCCCCTCCGTGCAGCCTGCGTGTGCGATTCCAGACATTCGCTGTGCTTTCGCACACATGGATACAGCTGCCTTGCAAGTATTGGCCGGTGGCTTTGGGTTTTGTTGTAGTTTTTAATTCAGTTGCCTGAGTACAGCTCATTTAGGATATGCTTGAATCTTTTCCTTTATTTACCAGTTTCAAGGATGAGACGGAGGTTCCTTTCCATCCTCCGGAGATAACTAGTGAGTTTAAAAAATATCATTATGAGTTTTAACATATTTTATGTGTTTCACTCTGTGCAATTATTATTATTATTGATGCTGAAATTGTTCCCTCTTTGGTCAAATTGACTTTTGACTGCTGTAGTCAAAAAGGCTTCGTTTTTTTAACTAAAGCCCCCACCAGACTCGCAGTCAGCTGGCATCGTCACCTCTCTCGGCAGCAGCCCAGCTCCCTGCTTGGGGTGGCCTGGCCCCTTGTGGCCTGGCTCAGCTGAGGTAGGGCAAGGAGGAGTGCGGGCTGGCCTCGGAGGTTCCCAAAATAGAACTCCTATGGCCAGGACTATCTCTCATTCTAGGTGTGGCCAGGGCAACATGCCTCCTGCTCACGGAAACTCTGCAAAGGCCCTGCCCCGCCACCAACTCCAGCCACACCTGTCGTCCCTCGCCCAATTTGGCTTGGAGCATAGACTCCAGCAGCCCCAGGCTTGCCCGGCATGTTCCGGGACGGCTAAGGACATTAATGTTGGAAACATTCAAATCCATATTTCCATCTTGTCCTTCTGCTCACTGGGCAAGTCATCGGAATTCCTGAGACTCCATCTGCTTATCTGTCCAGCGGGGTAATGGAAATTGGATAACGTGGGTCAATGTCCAAGCGCAGCCTCTGCCACGTCAGGCTTTGGGAGGCGGAGCTCTATGAGTCACAAGAATCTCTTGGGCGTGGGCAGGAGGCAGGTGGCCCTCAAAGAGGCATTTTAGACTCCCCTGGAATCGTACAGTCACTTGCTGACACAAACATGCTCTGTGCATAGAGTGCACTCTCATCCAGCTTGTGCACACCCCTCCACCACATTCCTGTGCTCACACCACCCCCCCACACCCCTGCCTCCCCTCCTTGTCTCCTGAGCCTGTTTCCAGCCCGGCAACCCCAGCAAGTGGAGGGGCTTCCCACCGGTGTGAGGAAGGCGCCTGCCTCCTCGTTTGCTGTAGGTGATGAATAAAGAGAGTCTCCAGGCTGGGCTGGGGCTCCACGCGGGTCAGATTCTAGAATGTTCCCTGAGAGGGCTCACTCTGCCTCTCTCTGATTTTTCTGTTGCAGGCCAGACCAAAACTCGGAGACCTGATTGAGATTTTTCGCTTTGGCTATGAGCACTGGGCCATCTACGTGGGAGATGGCTATGTGGTCCACCTGGCTCCCCCAAGTAAGGACACGTTCTCTTTTTAAGCACAAGGGTTCAGATCAAGCCAGGGAACGGATGCACAATTATGTGCATCCTAGGAAGTAGGCCCTCAGTACGTGTCTGCTGAATGGATCATGCTCTTCCCTGCAGGTGTATCAGCTGCTCTTCCATAGCGGGAAGTTGGTGGAGAGACTGTTGACCTTTATTCCATGATAGAGTAGGGTTCAGTCCTAACAAACCCACTGGACTTGGTGAGCATCCCTCCACGGGTCCCATTGCGTATCTATTTGTTGTTCTGGAGGTAGGAATAAGAGTAGGAATCAGTTTTTCCTTTGAATGGTTTACAACTGGCTGCATGGTGCAATGGATGGAGCATGGGCCTCCCAGCTCAACAGAACCTGTTTGGAATCCTGGCTCCTCTGCTTACTGACCAGGTGGCCTGAACTTAGCGATTTGCACCCTCTGCAGAGCAGGGATAAGGACCCCTACCTTCCGGGTCGTGTAGGGAGGCAATGAAGACATACATGGGAAAGCCCAGGTGCAGGGCCTGGCCCAGGGCTGGAGCAACCTCCTTTTCTTCTGAAGCATCATGGCATCCAAGAAAATGCCCAAACGCTGGAAACCACTCAAGTGCACAGCAGCAGGGAATGGGTCAAATAAAATAGATGTATCTGCCTATAGCAGAATGCTACACATACAGTCACTAAAAGCAGTTGTACAGCAGGTGTATATAGACACATATATGTGTACATAAATGATATCAGATCAAGTTAGAGAAATTTAAAAGTTTTGTTGTGCACACAAAAGAACAGTTTACAAACTAAGGGACTTTGAACCAAAAATGGCAAGAAGCTTAGCTCATGGCAGTGACGGCTCAGCTTATAAAGCACGAGTGGGGAAGTACATTGTCTTCTGCTGCGGTTGGCTACTAGAGACCCACATTCCTTTGAGGTAGTCGTTCTGCAGACACTTGTTTGCAGCTGATTGGCGGGGAAGCTATAAGGTCGTGCTGATGTGAGCAAAGCTGGGAATATTCAAACTGGCCTCTGTTTTGGTTCCTCTTTCACAATTCCCCTCTTTTGGTCATTCTCTCAGTTGGACTGAGCGTTAATCTTGGGCATCAGGTGCTGTTCATCCTTTCATGGCCATCTTAAGATCACAAACCAAGATTTCAGTAGATTCTCCTGACAACTCAAGTGTATGTCATCTTTGTTGTTTAATTCTCATAGAGATCATCTGCTGAGTCAGTGCTGTTGACGGGCATGCAAGACTGTTGAAGGGCACAGTGCATAAGGGCTGTATCAATGTGACTAATAGAAGGATCATAACCAGTGTTTGAAAATTATTCCAAAGACAAGGTCTGCAAGAGCCAAGATTTAACCAACTAAATAGATCAACTGATTTTGTGTCCCTATCAGGTGAAATACGTGGATTTGATCCTTTAGATATTTAAGATTCTAGAATATTTAAGATTCTGGGCTACAATTCTTGATTTATTGACATAGAAGCAGCACTTGAGCACTAGCTCCTTCTCATTGAGCGGTGAGGGTATCAAGAATGCTTCTGTTTTGGAGGACTGTTGAAGCTAAACTGCTTATCCTGGCTCGGATCATTTGAGGAGTGTTTAAGGCATCATGAAAACTCTTTTCAAGAGTTGTAGAAATATTGAAAAGCGATTTTTCTAATTCAGAGACTCCCAGTTGAGGGATGAGGGCTCTCACAAAATAGTGAAATCCAGAGCTTCTTTGTGTAATTGGGGTCGGAAGCTTGCAAGAAACTCATTTATGGAGGGTTGTTTTATGTTTAAATGATCCCAGGTTAAGATTTTATTGGCATTTAGAAAGTTATACTTGCTTATTCGGGGTGAGAGATATCCCAGCCTGTATCTTCCAGACTGTTTGGATTGGAAAGCTTTGTGTATCTTATTACCACAAAGAATGAACAATCCAGTATTATGGAGGGAGAGAGTTGAGGTGAATCCCATCACCCATCAATCAGAAGTGATATAAATAATCATGATTATTTTTGTCACTTTGGCATCTGCACATTGCCAGTTTATTTAGTTTAATTTTAAAATTTCAGAATGTTATGGGGGTACAAACATTTTGGTTATATATATTGCCTTTGCACCCCCCCAAGCCAGAGCTGCAAACATGTCCATCCCCCAGACAGTGCACTCCTTATACATTAGTTGTGAATTTACCCATCCCCTCTACCCTCTCCCACTGGCCCAGCACCTGATGAATATTACTTCCATGTGTGCATCTAAGTGTCAATCAGTTAGTACCAATTTGATGGTGAGTGCATGTGTTGCTCGTTTTTCCATTCTTGTGATACTTCACTTCGGAGAATGGGTTCTAGCTCCATCTAGGATAATACAAGTGGTGCTAGTTCACCATTGTTTTTTGTGGCTGAGTAGTAATCCACAGTATACATATACCACATTTTATTAATCTATTCATGTATTGATGAGGACTTGGGTTATTTTCACATCTTTGCAGTTGTGAATTGTGCTGCTATAAACATTTGAGTGCAGATTGTCTTTATTATAGAATGACTTCTTTTCCTTTGGGTAGATGCCCAGTAGTGGGGTTGCTGGATCAAATGGTATTTCTATTTTTAGCTCTTTAAGTTATCTCCAAATTACTTTTGACAGGGCTTATACTAATTTGCAGATCTGCTAGCAGTGTAAGAATGTTCCTATCTTTCCACACCCACACCAGCATTTGTTGTTTTGGGACTTTTTGATAAAAGCCATTCTCACTGGAGTTAAGTGATATCTCATTGTGGCTTTGATTTGCATTTCCCTGATAATTAGAAATGTTGAGCAATTTTGTATATGTTTGTTGGCCATTGTTCTGTCTTTTTTTGAAAAGTGTCTGTTCATGTCCTTTGCCCACTTTTTAATGGGGTTGTTTGATTTTTTTCTTGTTAATTTTCCTAAGTTTTATATAGATTCTAGTTATCAGCCCTTTATCAGATGTGTAGCATGCAAATATTTTCCCCCATTCTGTATATTGTCTATTTGCTCTAATGATAGTTTCCTTGGCTGTGCAGAAGCTTTTTTTTTTATTTATTTTTTTTATTTTGGCATATTGTGGGGGCACAGATTTTAAGGTTTCAATAAATGCCCATTTTCCCCCCTCCCCCCAAAAGTCTGAGTCTCCATCATGACCATCCCCAGATGGTGCACATCTCACTCATTATGTATGTATATACCAGCCCCCTCCCCCCTCCCACCTACCCAATACCCTATTACTGTAGTACCTATGTGTCCACTTAGGTGCTACTCAGTTAATACCAGTTTGTTGGAGAATATATCTGGTGCTTGTTTCTCCATTCTTGGGATACTTCACTTAGTAGTATGGGTTCCATCTCTAACCAGGAAAATATAAGATGTGCTATATCGCCATTGTTTCTTAGAGCTGAATAGTACTCCATGGTATACATATACCACATTTTATTAATCCATTCTTGGATTGATGGGCACTTGGGCTGTTTCCACAGTTCTCTCATCCGACAGCTACTGTAGTTGCCACCTAGGGGTCTGATATATGGCCACGATGCACACCAGAGCTAGATAAACTTAAGGTTCGTGCTGTGATATCCTAGTGAATGGCAATTCAGCTTACGGGAATATTTTCATAACACAGGCTCTCTTCAGAATGATTTCTGGCTAGTCCTCTCACCACTTCTGGTATTTCTACAATCTATCCACTCTCACACTCATGATTTAGCTGCATTAGAGATCTCTTAGATTTTGGTCCTAGGTAGAAAACAACGTAATTGACCCACCGTCTCTTTCAGTTGGACAGAGCGTGCGCTCAGCTCTATATTGGCACTTATACAACCAAAAGAGTTGCTTTTGGTATACCTATCATTTGTCCATTTCTTGGCCATCCTTAAGATCACACAACACAAGATTCAGACATAAATGTAATCTGCCCTGACACTCGGAGTAGTATGTCATCTTTGTTGTTTACATTTCATAGACGATCATCCTGCTGAGTCGTGCTTGTTGACGGGCATATTCTCAAGAACTGTTGAGGCAAGTGCATAAGGCTGATATCAATGTGACTAATAGAGGATCATACCAGTGTCTTGAAAATTATTCCAAAGACAGGTCTGCCAAGAGCCAAGATTAACAAACTCAAAAAGATCTCTCAATCTGGATTTTGTGTCCTATCAGGTGAAATACGTGGATTTGATCTGCTTTTATGATATATTAAGTATTCTTCTAGAATATTTATAGATTCTGGGGCTACCATTCTTGATTTATTGGAGCATAGAAGGCAGAATTGACAGCAGCTTCCTTCTCATTGAGGGAATGAGGGTATCAAGAAGCTTCTGTTTTGGAGGACTGTTGAAGCTAAACGCTTACCTGGCTCGGATCTTGAGGAGTGTTGTAGAGGCACTCATGAAACTTCTTTTCAAGAGTTGTAGAAATATTGAAAAGCGTTATTCTAATGTCACAGACTCCCAGGTTGAGGGATGAAGCGCCTCTTCACAATAGTGGAAATCGCAGAGCTCTTTGTGTAATTGGGGTCGGCTTGGCAAAAACCTCATTTACTTCAGGAGGTCTGTTTAGGATTTTTTAAATGTTTTTTTTTAAATTCCCAGGTTAATATGATGCATTGAGAAAGTTATACGCTCTGATTATTCAGTGTGGTGAATTGAGATATATCCAGCGTACTATTCCAGACTGTTTGGATTGGGAAGCAATTGTGTGATTTATATACTACAGAGAATGTTAAGCAATCACAGTTAATTGATTTGGAAGGGAGAATGAGTAGAAGCGTAGTAATCCGGCATCACCCATCATATCTCAGGCCAGTGAACCATAAACTTGTAATATGATTTTGTTTAATGTCACTTGTGCATTCTGCACATTGCCAGTTTATTTAGCTTTAATTTTATATATTCGTAATGTATGGGTGGGTACAAACATTTTTGGTTATATATAATTACTGCCTTTGCACCCGCCCCCGAATATAGCCAGAGCTGCTAATACGTTGTCCATT